CCTCCTGCTCATCCTTGGACATTCAAATCAGCTGTTCCTCACTCTGGAGAGCCTTCCGTAATAACCCCAGGCACACTGGCTCTTTCATTTTCTAGCTTCAATTAATCCCTCTGCGCTTCAATTTTCTTATCTGGAAAATGGGCATTATGATAGTACCTATTTCATTAGGTTGTTGGGAGGATTAAAAGGATTTATAGCTAGGTTGACAGACAGACAGGGATTTCCTAGAAGGCAGAGCTGGTCCCTGATCCTTCTCTGAATCGGGGCTGTCACAGATCAGGTGTTAAATGTTTGCTCACGTGAGGAAGCAGAGTCGGCTGGCTCCCAGCGAGCTCTGACCGTCATGATGATACTGTGTGGTGGTGAATTCAACTCCCTTGAACTCCTCACTTCCAAAAAAGCCACCAAAATATCTAAATGGCTAAAATAGAAAGCAGTGACAACACCAAATGCTCACAGAAGAACTGGATCACTCATACGTTGCTGGAGGGAATGAAAACTGGTACAGCCAGCCACCCTGGAGAAAAGTTTGGCAGTTTCTTTTAAAACTAAACATGCAAATTACCATATGACCCATCAGTTATACTCTTGGGCATTTACCCCTGAGAAACAAAAACTTATGTTCACACCAAAAACCTGCAGATGAATGTAATAGCCCCAAACTGGAAGCAACCCAGGTGTTCTCCAGTGGGTGAATGGTTAAACAAACCGGGGCCATCCATAAGCTGGAGTATTGCTCAGCAACACAAGGGGATGAACTGTTGACACACGCGGCAATTCGGATGAATCTCACAGGATTGACGCTGAGTGAAAAAAGCCAATCCCCATAGGTTCTCTGATATCTGATTCTATTTACATACCGTATTTTGAAATGAGAAAACTCTAGAGGTGTGGAACAGATTAGTAATTGCCAAGGCAGGGACAGGAGTGGGCTGGAAGGGGTGCTTAGGGAAGGAGATGGGTGTGGCTGTAACAGGGGCTCATGGGGGATCCCTGTGGGGAGGGAACTGTATTTGACTGATACATTCATAAAATTGCATCAAACAAAACACATACATCCAAATAAGCACATGTAAAACTGGAGAAATCCGAATAAGGTTGGTAGATTGTATCCATGTTAGGTTCCCGGCTGTGATACTGTACAGTAGTGTTCAGGATGCTACCGTGAGGATAAACTGGGTACATGAGATCTCTCTGTATTATTTGTTACAACTGCATATGAACCTACAATGATCTCACAATATAAAGTTTAATTAATTAATTTAAAATGCTTTGCAAGGTATTCAAAACAAAAGTCAAAACCAACCAAAGGCAACCAAAGCCAGTGAGCTTGTTTCCTGCACAGCCTTGCCATTGGCTTGCTTACGTGGAGGTCGGACCCACTCAGAACCCTGGGATCTTTGCCCTTCGAGCATTGCCAAGCCAGCCCCTTCCACATCCTGCCTGTTTACTGGCCTGTCTCAGAGCCTGGAGAGGCCTGAAGAGCAGCCTGACCCGACCTGAGCCCCTGAGGTCTTTAGCCTCCGGAGGAGGGACGTTTGGAGGGGCAGCGTGAAACAGGGCACTCGGGAGAGTCAAGGATTTCTGAAGCCCAAGCTAACCTTCCCCCTTTGAGACAGCAGCATTTCCACACTACACAGATGTAGACCCTTGCCAGTCTGTCCCTGTCCCCTAACAACCTGCCACAGCCTCGCCTGTTGGCTGACACATGGAGTGCATTTGCATTCCCCATCTCTTCTTCTTGGATCTCTTTGCTATTAGGTGTTTAACTTTTTTGACCGGGTCTGTTTATTCCTTGAACACCCTGCCCATAACTTCTGGGAGGTAGATAGAATATTTTGCAGTGGGAAAACGGGCGTAGAGGGGTTTAAGTGATTGTCCCAAGACCCTTTCCCTCTGAGACCCTCAGAGAAACCATAGGGTCCGTGTGACATGAAGACCAGCTGGCTTCAGACTGAAATTTTGTTGACCTCATGTTGTCCGAGACTCATGAGAGCAAGAGGTGTAGTTATTTATTTTTTTCTTTTTTAAGGTCATACAAAGAAGGAAACTTCAACCAAGATTTTCTAGGTCCCCTAGTAGTCCAGCAGTTTTTAAACTTTTTGGTCTTAGGATCTTTTTATCCTCTTAAATCGAGGATCCTAAAGAGCTTTTGTGTATGTGGATTATGTCTGGCAATCTTTATCATATTGTAAATGAATAGTGAAAAATTAAAAAATAGTATTAATTCCTTTAAAAAACAATAAACCCATGATATTTTATAGCAATATAACAACATACTTTTATTAGACTATTATAAAAATACAACATTTACATAAAATATGTAACATTTTGATAAAAAAATAACTTTTCGAAAACAAAAAATAATTTAGTGAGAAAAGCAGCACTTTAAAATTTTGCAAATCTCTTTTTTTGGGGGCTTCCTAGCTGGGTTCTTATATATATTTCTGCATTTAATCTGTTACAATATCAGCTGTCATGTAACTTTGGAAACCAATGTATACTTACTTGCAAGACAATGAGAGTGGAAAAGGTTACTAGTATCTTAGTATAGTTATGAAAATAGTTTTGACCTTGTAGACTTCTTGGAAGAGTCTCAGGGATTCCCTTTAGGGTTCCCAGACCACATGTCGAGAACCACTGCGACAGTATATTAAATGTCTGATTTCCTTAAGTACTAAGTTGGACAGTTGATATCTCTGACATTTCACTTTGATATTTCTTGTTTTATTTTTATTGTGAAGGTACATCCTCAGTCTTGCAAACGCATGTTTTGGCTTGTGATTATCTTTCTAATGTTTTTTGTAGAGCAATTTTTGTGAAACCATGGGTAAGTCAAAAATTCATGTTATTTTCAAATATGAGTTCTGCAGTGGAACCAATGCAGTGCAGACAGCTTGAAAGATAACCAGGTGTTTGGGAAGGATGTGGCTAATGAATGCACAATATGTGGATGGTTTGAGAAGTTCCATTCTGGTGATTTTAATCTTGAAAATGAGCCATGTGGGTGACCTGAGACCAAGGTGGATAACGATGAGCCGAAAGCTATAGTGGAAGCGAATCCATCTCAATCTATGTGTGAATTAGCAGCAAGGTTTAATGTTACTATTCCCACAATATTGGACCATTTGAAATAAATCGGCAAGGTAAAGAAGCTGGATAGATGGGTACCGCATGAATTAAATGAGCATCAGAAGAAAAATCGTCTTAAATCTTGCCTTTCTTTGCTGTCACGACATAAAGGTGAACCATTTCTATACCATATTATTACCTGTGATGAAAATAGATTCTTTTTGACAATCGAAAGCATTCAGCACTCGGTACAATGGTTGGATAAAGACGAAGTGCCAAAACACAGTCCAAAACCAAATATTCATCAAGAAAAGCTAATGGTGTCTGTTTGGTGGTCCAGCACTGTGGTATTATCCACTACAGCTTCACGAAACCTGGTCAATCCATGACAACGGATGTCTGCTGCAACCAATTGGATGAAATGATGAGGATGCTTGTAACGAAGGAGCTGAGATTGATCAATAGAGACAGGCCAGTCCTCTTGCAAGACAATGCTCGACCACATGTTGCACAAACATCGCTGCTCAAACTACAGAAGCTGGACTTGGGAACTCTCTGTCATCCACCATATTCACCAGACCTTGCACCAACTGACTACCACTTCTTCCAGGCTTTGGACCATTTCTTGCAAGGAAAAATATTCAATTCTCAACAAGTTGTGGAAAATGCCTTTTGTGATTTCATTGCCACTCGTTCTCCAGGCTTCTTCGCTGCTGGCGTAAACAAGCTACCATTAAGATGGCAAAACGTAACGATAGTTTAGGCGCGTACTTTGATTAATTGTACTGCTTCTTGTTTGAGATATAATAAACTACACTTTTGATTCAAAATCGGACATTTAATATTTAATGATCTAAATATATCCTCTGGTCTCTTTCTAGTCCTGTCCCTCCCATCTCCGTAGCAACATGCATCCCATAATGAGCAGACCAAAAGAGGCTTGAGCAGAAGTGTCCAGTATTCATATTTCTGAGGGCTTGGCTTCACTTCTATTTGGATGCTCATAAAGTCTCCACATTTTCTCTGTTCTCCAGCCACCATCATGTTCTGAGCTCCCCTGTGTCCCTCCTGGTTCCAGCACCCACATAGCAAAATCCTTGAAGTATTAATGCAATGGCTGTATGTGAGAAAGCTGGAAGGGCATGGTTCTTGTTAGCTGTCTGTGGCTGGAGAGGCCCACAGCCATCACTGTCCAATAGAACTTTCTGCAATGGTGGGAATGTTCTCTATCTGCACTGTCCAGTATGAAGCATGTGGCACTTGAAATGCGGCTAGTGTGGCTGAGGAACTGAATTATTTTACTTTATTTTATTTTAATTAATTTAAATTCAAATAGTGGCCAGGCACAGTGGCTGATGCTTGTAAACCCAGCTCTTTGGGAAGCTGAGGCAGGAGGATCACTTGTGGCCAGAAGTTTGAGACCAGCCTGGGCAACATAGCGAGACCCCTCCTTTAAAAAAATTTTTTTAAAATTAGCTGGGCCTGGTGGCATGCACCTGTAATCCCAGCTACTCAGGAGGCTGAGGCAGGAGAATTGCTGGAGCCCAGGAGTTTGAGGCTGCAGTGAGCTATGATGACAGCACTGCAGTGTAGCCTGGGTGACAGAGTAAAATCTTGTCTCAAGAAAAAAAAAATAATCAAATAGCCACATGTGGCCACAGATTGCTGCATTAGACAACACAACCAGACCTTGCAGGTACTAAAGGCCCCTGTAAGGATTTGCACTTTTGTCTGAGGAGCAATGGAAAGATAACCTCGAAAGGGTTTTGAACCTGGGGTGGCGGGGTGACACAGTCGGATCTGACTTTTCCAGCCTGACATGTGTGTCCATCTGTGTCTCTCTTCCTGCTGCAGGTGCCACCATGAGGCCCCAGCCCTACAGGAGCCCCTGCGCTCCCCTGGCCGGTGGCGCGCCGTGCTAGCCCCCAGCCAGGGCGCGGGGAAGTGCGGTGGCCATGGCCAGCCACGTGGACCTGCTGACGGAGCTGCAGCTGCTGGAGAAGGTGCCCACGCTGGAGCGGCTGCGTGCTGCCCAGAAGCGCCGGGCCCAGCAGCTGAAGAAGTGGGCGCAGTACGAGCAGGACTTGCAGCACCGCAAGCGCAAGCATGAGCGGAAGCGCAGCACAGGCGGCCGCCGCAAGAAGGTGTCCTTCGAGGCCAGCGTGGCCCTACTGGAGGCCTCACTGAGGAACGACGCCGAGGAAGGTAGGCCCCTTCTGTGCCCTGGCGGCTGGTAGCTGCCCGGGCCTCAGAGCCCCTGTTCAGGGTCTGGATGGCAGGTTCGTGCCGTAGCGGTGTGGACAAAGCGAGTTTGCAGACCCTCTCCAAGTTCGGGTGGCCCCACACATCTCGGAAAGTGGATGTTCCTGAAAGGCTTTGATGAATTTATCTTAGACTTTTTTTTTTATTTTGGAAACAAAAATTCCAGCCTTTGGCTATTGAAGACCATAATAATTTTCCTTCTCTCCCACAAATATTTACCGACAGCCTACTCCTTGCACATGACTATTGTAGATACGGTGATGAACAAGTTGGATCTGCTTTCTCCTCTCCAAGAGCTCAATATTTATAGGGTTTTGCATTTCTTAAGCCCCTTCTCTGGGCCAGACCTCACTGTCTGTATGTGGTCCCATCTTATTTAGCCTTCGCCGCAGGCATAAATGGTGGAGAGGGATGTTTAAGGGCCTAGACTCTGAAGTGAGACTACCTGGGTCTAAAACTGGCTTTGTCCATCTCCTGTGTGACCCTGACAAGTAGACAAGCCCCTTTGGCTCTCTGTACTTAGTTTCTACCTCTGTAAGATGGAGCTCATAAGGGCTTACTGTGAACATTAAATTAGATAATCCCTGTGAAGTTCTTGGACATGGTCCCTCATGCTAAGTGGTCATTAATATATTTTATTATATTATTACTATATTTTATTTCATCGTGTTTATATTATCTAGGATGCCCATAACGTCTGAACACATAGACAAATATACATAATGTTGTCTAGGACATTTTCACTCTATAAAGTAAATGAAGAAATAAATATAAACAAACACATATACATACACATTTATATAATCTGACATTTCCAGATTTTATGGATACACTGTACTTGTTATCTTTTATTTGGTTATGTTATTATGATGTGTCCCATGACCCAAATATCATGATCTGAGCCATGTATAATGACACCCATTTTACAGATGGGAAACTGAGACTGAGAAAGGTTCAGAACCTTGACCAAAGTGGCAGAGAAGGATTAGAACCCCCAGCATCCAAGCTCTTGTTACTGCCCTCATAGCCTTGCGGGTTTGCTTGCCATTGTGACATAGACGGAGAATCCACGGTTTAACCTAAGCCTCTTCTCTGGGCGTGTTTTGAGGGGGTTGTGCCTGCTCTTTGTGCAGCCTCTGTCCCATCCTCCTATACTGAGCCTTCCTGGCTGTCCCTGGGGAGGCCCAGCCGTGTTTCCTGGGTCCCTCCACTCGCCCTCGGGACACTTGGCACTAAAGCAGCCAGTGGAAGAACAGAGTGGTGGTAGCACAAGAGGGTGTTGAGTTTTATTCGCTTGGCTCTTCAGTTTCTAGAACCATCGGAGAAGCACGATTCTGTTCCCACGCTGCTCACAGAGGGCTCCAGGTTGTGAGCAGGGGAGCATGCCTGGCCCCGCGCTGCTGGAAGCAGCTCCGCTGAGAGCCGGGGGCGAGCAGCCCCCGTGAGAGAGGCGTGAAATCTCTTGCTCGGGGACACGGCCCTGCAAAGCTCCTTCCCACGTGTGGTTTGCCGAGTGACGTGGCAGCCCCATCCCACTCAGTGGGTGGCTCATCATGATGTCTAATTTTTGCCGGGGGCGGCGGTTCATCAGCCTTTCTCTCATCCCTCACCGTTTACTCCCTTCTTCCCTGACAGAGCCCCGTCTCCCGCTCCCCGAGGGGCTTTCAGAGGCTCCTGTGAGCAGGTTGCGCTGCTTCAGAACATCCCCCCGGGGGATGCTGCCTCCCCAGCCCCCTGCCCGGGCCCCACCCCTCGGTGGCTGCCACGTGTCCGGTTTAGAAAGAGCACTGGACTCGGAGTCTCAGGGAGCAGTGCCCTGCAGCCCTGCTGTGACCTTGAGCAGCTTGCTTCACCTCTCTGAGTCCAGTTTTTTAAGCTGTAAAATGGGGTTTTGAATGCTTGCCCTCAAGAGGGTGCGGCAGTTTTACCCTGAGCCCTGCACACTAACCCAGTGATAATTTTAACACACTTTTTCTTTGTGTGTGTGCGCATTTTTTTTTTTTTTACAGACTTGAATGTTTTTAAGAACCCAGGTATGCACTATCACGTTCTTCTTGTAAAACACAGGCAACATGCACAAAGTAAAAAGTCCCCTCCCTCCCTTCGTTCCTTCATTACTGTTGTTAGTTTGATGTGTTTCCTTTCAGTCATTTTTCTCACTTACCTATAGAGAAATATAGAGTCAACATTTTTTTTTAGAAAGATTTTACATAAGCGATGACATCCTGGGTATGTTATTCTGTAATTTCCTTTTTTTTATCCAACAGTGTATCTTGGAGATATTTTCATGCCAGATACACAGTGTGCAACAGATCTGCGTCATTCTTTTTAACTGCTGTGTAGTATTTCATAGTATGGATTCACTAACATTTTTGATCTCGTTTCTTATTGATGTAGGTTTTTCCACTAGTTTTGCTTTTGCCACAATGTTTTGTGCACATGTGCAAATGCTTATCTAGAACAGATGTGGAAAAATGGAAGAGATGGATGGAAAGGTATTAAATTTGAATGAGAAAAGTGCTAGACCCCGTGGGCTGGTCCTCCGCCTCTGGGGACAGCCAAATGAGGGTGGAGGGGCCAGAGCACTGTGCTCTGTGGCGGGCTGTGGGGGGCAGGGGAGAGGTGTCCCTGGGGTCCACAGGTGGCTGGGTTTGGGTGGGGGTGTGAGGCTGCCATCAGTCAGCCCTTGATCTTGCTGGGCTGCGCTAAGCCTCCTGGCAGCATGACAGAGCCCGCTGCTCCCAGCTGGCTGGGAACGGCTTCTGCTGGCTGGTGGAGCTGGTGTCCGGGCGGCTGCCGGGGTGTTAGCTCACAGTGGGGTGGGAGCGTGGGGTGGCAGCTCCCCCGCTCCCCTGAGCTCACAGCAGCCTCTGAGTCAGCCTCCCCCACCTGCCTGGGGAACGTGAGTTGTTTCCAGAGGAAGGCAGGCTGGGAACTCACTGAATTTCCTCCTCCAGCCGTGCACTGCCTTTAGGCTAATGGCCGTGCCCTCGGACCTGCCCGAGCCCCACCCTCACTGCCTCAGCTCCTCCTGCCTGCCCCGATGTGCCCTGTGTCCTCTGACCTCCACGCCTTTGCATGTGCAGTTCCCTCCTTCTGGAACACTCTTCCCCTAACTCCTGTAACTCTTCAGGTTTGGGCCCGGTGTGAGCTCCTCTGGGGAGCGGTCTATGAGCCTTCCTGTACCCCGACCCCAGCACTAGGTAGAGCGGCAACTCCAGGCATAGTGCTGTTTACTGAGAGGCAGCATAGTGTCATGGCTAAGAGGGTGGGAAACCTGCAGCCTTGGGGCCACATGCGGCCTTTTGGATCCTTGAGTGTGGCCTTTTGACCAAAGCCAAATTTTATAGAACAAAAATAAAGGGATTTGTTCTGTGAAGTTTGGATTCTGCCAAGGGGCCGCCCTTGGGGATCTGGGGGCCACACGTGGCCTTGAGGCTGCAAGTTCTCTGCAGTTCCTCCTCCAGGATTCAAATCCCAGCTCTGCCACTTCCTAGCTGCGCAATCTTGGGAAAGCCACTTGACTTCTTGGTGCCTCAGTTTCCCCATCTGTAAAAATGAGGATGGTAATACACCTGCCTCATAAAGTGGTCGGGGGGGGTGTTAAATTGCGTTGATCAATACTGAAGTGGTATGGTAAGAACTTTATAAGTGGCATAAATTATTGTTTTCTACATTTACATAATCTATTATGATTATATATTTTGATTGTCATCATCATCGTTTGTTAGGTGCTTACTTTGCTCCAGGCAGCCTGCCTTACTTGTGTTCTCTCAGTTCATCCTCTGAGGTTAGAAACTCAAACCCCATTTTTAAGAAACAGCTTGGGATTTAATTTATATATCATAGAATTTGCTCATTTTAAGTGTACAATGCAATGATTTTCAGTAGATTTATACAGTTGTGCATCCGTTACAATCTAGTTTTAAAACATTGCCAGAGCCCCCAAAAGAAGCCTCTTGCCCATTTGCAGTGAGTCCCGGTTTCCACCTGCAGCCCCAGCTCCAGGCGACCACTCATCTACTTTCTGGCTCTCTCTGTATTTACCTTTTCTGGACATTTTATTTACATGGAGTCATACAACATATGATCTTTTGTGATTGGCTTCTTTCATCTAGAATACTATTCTCAGGGTTCGCCCAGGCTGTAACATGTACCAGTGCGTCCTCCCTTTTCATTGCCATGTAGTATTCCAGTGTACGGACTGACCACATTTTGTCTATCCATCACCGGTTGATAAACATTTGGTTTCTTTCCATTTTTGATGATGATGACTAATGCTGCTAAGCAAATTTGTGTGCAAGTCTTTGTGTGGACACATGTTTTCATTTCTCTTCGGTAGTTACCTAGGAATGGAATGACTGGGGCATATGGTAAATTTATGTTTAACTTTTTAAGAAACTGCTAAACTGTTTTCCCAGATGGCTGCACCATGTTCTATTCTCAAACCCTGTTTTACAGATGAGGAATCTGAAGCTTGGGGAGGCTAAGTCGCCTCCCAAGGTCTCACAGGTTTTTGTTTTTGTTTTTAAATTTTTAAGAGACAGAGTCTTGCTCTGTCACCCAAACTGGAGTGCAGTGACCCAATTATAGCTCACTGCAGCCTTGGACTCCAGGGCTCAAGAGATCTTCCTGGCTCAGCCTCCTGAGTAGCTAGGACTGCAGGTGCGCACCACCACACCTAGCTAATAGTTTCTTAATTTTTTTGTAGAGATGGGATCTCACTGTGTTGCCCAGGCTGGTCTCAAACTGCTGGCCTCAAACAATCCTCCCACCTTGGCTTCCCAAAGTGCTGGGATTACAAGCTTGACATCATGTCTGGCCAGTCTCACAGGTTTTAAGTGTCAGACCCAGGACTCAAATGCAGATCAATTGTCCAAAGCCCATGCTTTTAACCACCAGGCAGTCCTGGCACCTCTTGCTTTGGGTTTTCCCTAGAAAAC